AGTGCATAAATTACAATCACAATTTAACCCTGTTACATATATAAAGGAATGGTATGCGACTGTTATCCATATGAGAGGTTTAGCTAGCTTCAAAAACAGGTTTAATCCGCCATTTTCTACACGCAAAAAAATGCCTGTATCCAGTCAGGAATATGACAGTTGCTTTCCATTCGCATGATGTGTTTGAGCTTTTTTATTATTTTGCAATTCAATTAAGGACTTTCCATTCAGATTTTTTCTTGGAGTTCGGTATTATTTTTTTTTTTTACTTTTTATAACCCTTTTTTTTTTTACTTTTTACAACCCATGGTATATCCTAAGGAGCTTTTGCAGGATTTGGATATTAGTTGTTCGTACTATAAAAACATTGCAATACCATTGACTGCATATTTTACCGGTTACACCTTTTCAGTTTCATAGTCAAATATGGCAATATGTATTTTAACTTTCACGCAATCCTAATTCGATATTTAGTACTGAGAAATGGGTCAACATACCTTGAAAGACATTGTCCGAAACATTGTTTGCTTTCCACTAGCCTATCAAAGATCTGTAGAAGCTCAGTAACTTTAGACTGTATGTCTCGTCTTTGGCATTTATAGTCAAATTTACACCATATATGCTAATATGCTGTTATTTTTAAGACAATCTGACTTAGAATAAGTATGTATATTTTAAATAACACGATAAGATGACTTGTTACTTGTCCACTTGTTGAGAAGTTGTGTCGTCAAAATGACATTTAAAAGTAAACAAGATGAAAACAAATCATATACTCCACACAGCTAAAGTCATGTTTTACCAATGATATTTAATGTATACTTTGTTCTCTCGAAACGTATACAAAATTAGGTTGATTTGTTGATATTTAGAGAGATACCAACTCAACAAGAACCCATATTTAAGTTAACTTGTAGAAATGTTGTATAGATTTTGACTTAGATATGTCAATATGAATTATAAACTTTTGACCCATTTAAGCTTCCATACTTGTCGGATCTGCCAGACATCTGTTTCGAATTTGGCGATACTTTGAATAGCGAGTTGGGGGTATGCTTAAGACGACTACTATTGCAACTTCTTGTTTTTATGATAGTTATTCTAATTTTAATTTACTTTTCTTCAAGATATGCATTTGTCAAGAAATGTTAATTGAGTCATTTTGTCACAAACCCAGTGGATTTAAACTATATGAAGGGAAAATTAAACACTCTGAGAAATCAATGGAATTTTTAACAATAATCGCAGATACTTTTATGATATACTCACTGTTGATAATCCCAAGTTATTTAACATGCTTAATGCAGTTTTTAAAAAGAACTTCAGCATAATAAAACTTATAATGAAAGTTTTAAATGAATTAATTTAGTCTCCATTTTTTAGAAATTACATATTCCTGTGTTCGTGTTATACGATTTTTTTATATAGATTATTTAATAACATATACGACAAAAGAGACGATTTCAACTTTGTCATCACAAACTTCCCATTTTACAACTTGTACGGCTTGCTACATAATATATTCGAAAGAAGATTTACTTTAATGAGTAGCCTTGCATTAACACACAAGTTATTTTGCATGGTTACATATACCACAGTCTTAAATGCTTTCAATTAGTACAGTCATTGTCGGCATCTTGTCCATGAATATAATGTTTTCGTAAAAAAATTGATTGGGTGGTATTTTCTCATCCTAACTTTAATTGTAATGTCGTTTAAAGATCTTAAACACTTACAAATAATATATTTTTGAATTAAGGACAGTTCTTGTATCTTTCAACAACAAGGTCTACAGGCGTAATATACAAAAAGATTTGGTTTGCAAGTTTAGCTGTACTTGTAGAAAACTCATTTCAAACGGAATAGTGCATCCTTTACGGGAATATTGTTTACCAAGCCCGGAAATTTAGATACGATCCGGGTAAACTTAATAATCCTTTAAATAAACGTATTCTTAAAGATTACCAATTCAACAGTTATACTGTAATTAGATCTTTGAATATTGTTTTTATTGATATACATATTAATTTTGTTATCAGTAAATTAAAACCATATCAAATATCATTGTTATACACATATGCACATTCACGGTACTATACTATCTGTACATACCTATATTTTGGCATTGCACAAGGCCATGTTTTCTTTGACTCTTAATGACGTCTTTACACTAATCCATTGGATGTTGGATGTGTACTGATTGATATTTGAGTCTTAGATACACGATATGTTTATTAGTTGTAATTGTCTTTGAACTTGTTGTCAGTAACTGCGAGAACTATCAGATCTTTACTTAGTTTTTTTTGTTGTTGTGGGATGTATAGATACGCTGCCACGTCATGTCTGTGTTTTCGTTTAATGTTTTCTGCTTTGTGTCGATCTGATGAGTTTAACCCTTTTCAACTGATTTTTATAGTTTTTTCTTATAATGTACTGTTACACCACTGTCCCAGGTTGGGAATGGGGGTTGCACCAGTAAACTAGCTTAAACCCACCACATTCTATATGAGCCTATCCCAAGTCTGTGGTTGTCGTTAATTCATGTTTTTCATATTTGTTTTTCGTAAATTGTTTGTTATCAATTAGGCCGTTAGTTTTCTCAATTGAATTTTTCATATTTTTCATGTCGGGGCCTTTTATAGCCGACTATACGGTATGGGGTTTTCTCACTGTTGAAGACCGTACGGTTGCCTACAATTGCTTACATCCACTTCATTTGAACTTTGGTGTATAGTTGTCTCATTGGCAATCTTACCACATATAGATATAAGAAGATGTGGTATGAGTGCCAATGAGACAACTCTCCATCCAAGTCACAATTTGTAAAAGTAAACCATTATAGGTCAAAGTACGGCCTTCAACACGGAGCCTTGGCTCACACCGAACAGCAAGCTATAAAGGGCCCCCCATAATGACTAGTGCAAAACCATTCAAACAGGACAACAAACGGTCTAATCTATATAAAAAAAACGAGAAACGAGAAACACCCATGAACTACATCAACAAACGACAACCACTGAACACCAGGCACCGGACCCAGGACAGGCGCAAACAAATGGAGCAAACGCCCCAATAAACGCCAACCTTCACCCCACCTGAAACAATAGTGTAACATCCCAACATAGAAAGACACACTATAAAATATCAATAGAAATAGCTTAACTCAATCAAAAGACATATTAACAAAAACAAGTAAACATACATCTCCTTATTTTTATATGTTCTCAATAATTCAGTCTAGATGGTTGCTTCTTCCTTCTGATAATCTGACGAATCTAAATACCTACTGGCTACTCATTATAACTGTGGATTCCAATGATTAAATTTTATTTTGAGACTTCACGAAACCTGTTAGGAGTATTGTTTCTCGTTTTTTTCTTGGGCGACAGTATCCAGCCAACATCTGTAGCTACCTTAGTTAGTTTCCAGTGGTAACGAACACATTTTAACCCTGCTATGAAATTCACAGCCAAATATTGGCAAAAGTGAATCTGGTCCTTTATCTTTTGATGAAGAAAAGATTTGTTTTAATTAAAATAGACCAAAAGATGAAATGAATATAGTTAATGCCAAAGTAAACAGGAGATAAAAAGACCTGAATTTTCATCAAATTTATATGTATATATATATATTCAAACGTTATTTCATTTCCAATCGATCGCCTTCAAATTTTGAATTCAGTCAAAGAGAAGGTTTCATGAATATTTTATCAATACAAATATCTTAAACCAAAACTAGGACTTGATTGGAAGATAAAAAGACATGAATGCTGTTAAATAGACCCGAAGATCTAGGAGCAGGTCTATTATTTTGATTGATTCAATTACTTTCTTATTTTTCAATGCATTTTGCTTTCACTTCAATTCTTTTAAAGACAAAGTTTAATATTTTAAGAATCTAAATACATAGTTGATGCTTGTTATCATTTTTTTATATACAAATCACGAAATTTTAAACAAATGAATTAAGTTGTAACTGCAGGTATGATTTATTTACCTCGGTGAGCTAATACAAGGTGTGAAATAAGGTTAGCACACACACCCACACACACAATAATCCCATCCGCATACTCTCTCTCTCTCTCTCTGTAATTTTTGTTTGAAATTAATGATAAGTCATGCTACCCATAATGTAATGAGGTATCAAATAATGAATAGATAATATCTAAAAATATTTATTAGTTTTTAAAAATAGCTATTTTTTTATATTAAAAATTCTATTTTCTTATATTAAAAAATAAATTTTATCATTTAAAAGTTTATTTTCAAATATTAAAAAAATGATTTTTAACATTAATGAATGTTTTTTTTTATATTTTCATAGAAGTGTAATCATTTATCTGCAAATGGTTAAGATGTTGGCAATTAAACCAGAAAAAGACAAGATAGTTGCCATGCATACAAAAGCAGTGATAAGGTATCAATTTGATGACAGAAAAACAGACGCAATTAAGATTTCATTCCAAACCCATAACTATAAAACATTTTTTTCTGTTTGACTAAAACTAATTGCTCTTTTTAGAACAAGAGAAAAGATAAAATATTTATGTATTACTTCTATGTTAATCAGATGAAATTCTAATACTTAAAAAGGGAATAAATTCCCCAAATGGTTTGCCATATAGAAAGATTTTATCTAGTTCGATCTTGCTACATAAGAGAATTAATATGCACGCTGTCTGTGATCAAATTGTTTTGAATCATTATCAATAAACTGTTTTGATTGAAAAGCTAATCAAAATAAAGCTAACTATCTATTTCTATGCACCATGCGGTGTATTGCATGCAATTTTAACACATTTGATTTTTTATTTCAGGAAAAAGGTGTTATAATATTACTTCACTGCATGCTGTACTTCCTTGTCTATAGTTAAATTCAAGGAACTTGTTTTTGGTGAAATAATATTACTACATTTGTCTGTTCCAGAGATATAACGGATATATCGGTCTATGTAAAATTTCGTAACACGAAAAAATCATGTATAAATACCAAACAGAGCTATTCCACATACACTTCCAATTCAAATCTCTAAGGTAAGATTTACTTCTTGTATTGCAATTAAAATGGGGGAAATTTTAAATTTCACTTGTTTTGGTTTTTTTATTCGTGTATATACTACATATGGATTAAAGCCATTCTACTTTTTACTTTAATTTGTATATAGTTTTGAATCAAATTAACAATGTTTCCTAAATTTGTAATTCATTGAGATAATTTTTCTGTTTTCATTTTAAGTCATAGTTTTCAAGAATTCTCAAAAATAACACATTTTTTTATTGTCATAAAGATTATTGGTATAAAGTAACATAGGGACGTTAAACTTAAGCTTGTAGTCAAATAATAAATAATGGAAAATAAAATGTCAAATATAACAATAACCATATTTAGGACATTTTTGTCGCTCAAAACTAAAAAGATAATTGTTCAAAGTATTTGTTTTTGAAAAATAATAGATATTATATAGAATTTCTACGGGCAAACATTTAAAAAAACAATTACTTTTGTCAACACGATGTAGAATTTGAAAAATATATGTTTATTTGTAAAGCTTTATAGTGAAACCCTTCAGAACTTTATATAACTATAAAGAAGAAATATACATTTTCCTGATTATCGCAATCATTGAATACGACACTTGTTGTAAATGATCAAGTTTCTTAAAAAAATGAAATGCCAATTGGCGCAAAAGCAAAGCGCCGCTTTTAAAGGGTATGACAATTAATACTTTTGTATATTTAAAATTTGAGACTACATGTATACACCTTAAGATTTGATAATGAGGTGTTCTTAATCCAGGTAACTGTTAATATTGTTTCAATTATGATTTATTATCCAATACACATAATATAAATTAATTAATTTATCTTCTCCAGATTGTGAAAGTCATTAAAAATTCAAAATGAACAAAATTGTCCTCTGTATCATCCTTCCCTGTATCCTGGCTATGGTAGTCTCAGCCTATTACGTCCCCAACTACGGGGCCCAGTACGGATATGGCCAAAGAAACGTTGCACCATACGCCAGTTACGCTGCCAACAGCAACAATGCCCTTAGACAGGCCAGACTTTTCAACTACTGTAAGTTTAGCATTGTATTTCTGACATGTATTACCAAAGAAGAATACTTTTGAATGTCATCATTAAAGATTCTTTCAAATTCATTATTTCCTTATTATTGATATCGGCGCTTAGAAAGAAAAACATAATTGTTGGGAAAATAATATTTTATGAAATTAATAAATAATAAGAATATTGCTTCCTCACGAATAATTCTTCTTAATATTACAAGAAGATCTGTAAAACGTCTACAACTTTATAAGCACAATTACATGTTCTTAGTTATAACTATCGATGCATTGTGACGAACAAGGGCCGCAAAGAGAAGATTTGGAAAAAGCTAACTATATATTGTTACTGTCTCCTTGGTGCATACCCAGCATCTAGTTTTATATTTAGAAGTAAGAAGCTTAAAAAGGGATATACATATCCCGCACGTAATAGTTCAAAGTTGCGAACTAACTTTTTAACTGTGCAGGTAATTCTTGTTCGCTATATCATATCTCATTTCACCAAGGTAAATGTCGTCTTATCGTGCAGAAAAGCATACAAAAATGAACACAAAATGAGTGTTATTAATAGTATTTCTATAATTATATTGCAGTGTTGGGAGGATTGTACTTTTTGAACTTATTCAACTTTACCGGAAACACTATTGCTGGTTAAAATACATTTGCTGTGCAAAGAGTTAATTTTGGTGAGTCTATTTACTTTAATAACTGAATAACGACTATTGTCTGTTTGTGACCTCCTTATTTTTTTTCCATATTCTTAACGTTTGTGTAATGGCAAGAAAAAAACTGAGCGTAAAATTGATACATTTACAAAGTTTTTATTTTTTATTGTGTGTTGCTCCTTGAATTATCACATTTTAAAATGTTCAGAACTATTTCTGCTATTAAAGGTTTACGTACTAGTTAGTCCAAAAACAAGCAATGTATCTCACTTTGTGTTACAATTATATTCCCTTTATTTACCAATACAGGTTTGATGAATCGTTGCAGCGACTCTTCTACTGTATGCTCTTTTACATTGTGAAAGGCTGATATCTTAAATCTGTCATTTTGATTTTTTTTAGATCAAATCCGAAGATTTCTGATATTGAATGGTGCTGCTACACCTCAACGAGATGAACAACTAATTATTCTTAAAGTTGTACCAAATTTTCATTTGTTTTTCAATAAAACAGTGTTTTGAGTATATATTTCTTGTCTTTTAGATATTTATCTCAGAATTGCTTATTTTTAATGAATGATATGTTCCACAAACTCAACATACTGTATTCATCACGCATTGAGTAAAATGCTCAATAACCAGAGTGTGTGTGTATGGTAATTTATCGTTGGGATTATAAAAATGACCAAAATTGTTATTTAAGAAAAACAGACCCATAACAAATAAAAATATCAAATAATCATCGATCAACAATGAAGAAGTACATTTACAAATATTATATCATACTGCTTGTGGGTAAATGTCAAACAAGGACAAGAGTGTTTTTTTTTTCACTTAGACCCGGAAGGTGGACATGTTTATTTTTCCAACCAAAATTTGAAAACCGTGCTGATACGAATATTATTAAGGAGACGTGGAGTATATTTCCGTGAGACAGTAACCTTACGACACGAAAGAGCCTGATATGTTCAAATTATAAACTTTCTTTACATTTCCCGACCAAAAACTTAAGTTAGTCTTAAATAAAAAATCCACAAACCCCATATTGCTATAGTTGCTATATACAGTAACATTTCCTCCGATTTTTTTTTACTATACACGTTTATATAAAAACAAATCATAAAAATCTAATTATTTGCTATAAAAGTATAGATTTTATCAAACGTTGCATCAATCGGGACACACCCTTTGAGGCACAGTTCATATTTCTTCGTAGTCAGCATCCTTTTATTCTAGAAGACTGAAAGTCTCGCAGTAACATTAGTTACCACACATATTTCTGCTGGCTTTAAGTAGTGTAAACTGATGATTTCATAAGAGAGATCTATCAGGAGTAGTAATGTCATCATAAATGTAGAACAATATATAATCTTTATATCAAGAGAATAACCTCCTGAGCCAAAGGTAATTTTCCTGCGGCTACTTAAAACATTCCAAATATACATCCGATATTCATCATAAGACAATAGTAAACTATTTACAAAAAATAAATACTTATTCATGTTATTATTTACAACAGATAGTGCTTCAACAAAGTAGTCAGAGATTATTCATTTTAAGATATTATATCATTTGTCTTTATAAAAGTAAGGAGATGTGGTATGGATGCCAGTGAGACAACTCTCCACCAAAGTTCAAAAGACGAAGAAATAAGCAAATATAAGTCCCCGTGTGGCCTTCAACAGTAAGAAAAACCCATACCGTATAGTCAGTTCAAAAGGCTCCGACATGACAAACGTGAAATAATTCAAACGAGAAAACTAACGGCCTAATACATAACAATACAATATCCGAAAAACAACTATGACAGACATGAACAAACGACAAACATTGATTAACAGGCTCCTGGCTTGGGACGGGCACCTATAGACCCCCCCCCCCCCTTACCTGGAACAGTGGTGTAAAAACACAACATAAGAAAAACTCAGTTGTAAATGCCTTAAGCTGTTTGAAATATTTGCATTTTTTTTTTCTTTTGATGGAAAATTATTCCATTATTTTGCATCAGAGTCCATTAAAGTTTTCTTTACAAAAATGGTCTTTGACTATGCCAGGTGTAAAGTTTTATTCTTAATGGAACGTAATTGATAATATAGAACATTTACATGCAAAAATATCCTTCCAAATAAGGAGGTGCCTAGCCATTTATAGATTTGAATACCCGTGAATAGCTTTCTGCTTTTTGACGTTCCACTCAATATCTGTCCATTTTATACTAGTATGAACAGTAAATAAATGATGATTATGGCATTAAAGTATTTTCTAACATAGCTTGAATAATTCACGTACCACAGTATAACGTTTCGTAAAAAGAGTTAAATCTATTTCTGATAGCAAAAATATTAAAATATCCCATATCTGAGAGGTGTTACTTTTCTTTGTCACCCACATTGAATTTCTATGATTTGAGCAATAATTCCAACCAACATTTAGTTTTTCTGAATTATAATTTTTGGACGGACGTCTCTTCGGTCTCTTCGTCTTCTTGTATTGTCGGCCTTTCTCCTACTTATGGTGGTTGATTGACCAATGGTATGGTCAGTCTTCACCTACTTATGGTGGCCGATTGCCCCAATTTGATTGTCCCATGGTATTCTATTTTGTGACGGATTAAGACACTAGTATTGTAATCGCATTTGCGATACGTTCATTTCGATGGGACATTATATCAAATTCAACACAAAAGATGTAAACTGTTTTAATAAACGACATTTTAAGTTTTTTGTTCTTCAAAAAGTGAATAAAAGAGCCTCATTTTGTCAAGATTGGATTGGTGACCTCTCAAGAATGATCTCAGAAACAAAAAAAATGGAATTTCAAATGTGGCTACTGAAATAAAGCAGTCCGGCAAAATTGGGATTAAAACCTACCTGTTCGTTATTATAAATTGCATGAAAAGAAGGGAGATTGACTGGTACCCTATTCTGCCTCTTAGTGAATCTAAATTATATATTGACCCCCATGTTTTCTCAATAACTTTCGTAAAAAAAGGATTGTTAAACACTGATATAAATACTTGCTGTAGAAAACTAAACGCTCCTATAAATATTGATCAATGTATACCTGTATATATAATTAATGAGTATTTATAGGTTAGCTTTCTCATTGATTACCTGTAAAAGTCTTAGTGACGGAAGAGTGCATGTGACCAACCTACAGAAAATTAGCGATGCAACCATTATACAATATTCTGTTGATTCCTCTAGTATGCTTAGTTCCAGGTAAGCTCAAGCGTACCTGTTTTTGTACAATTCTACAAATTCATGTTCATAGTCTTAAAATGTATCGGCACAGTAACAGAGATGACAGAACAGCACATTGAAGACTTTACGCATGTGGACAACAAGTGTAAATGTTAGCAGTGCAAATTTAATTTGAAAAAGTCAACACAAAAATAACCACAACTATGAATAAAAAAAACTTTAGCATTGACATCCATGCCAAACCATGCAGATTATACATTTCAAAATCAATTCAATTCGATCACGAATTACAAAAATAGAACAACATTCAAACGACTTTTGTAATTCAAATACATGACTGTATAATAATTATACTGTATAGATTTAAATGGAATTAGGTCCGTGCAATACTGAAATCTATACCATGCATGACTTGCTGTAAATGTCCTATTGACAATTTCTGTGTAAAACGACCCTGAGGTCGGGATATAGAATTAATAATTAAAGAGACGGTTAAAGAATATAAGGTTAAATCAGGTTATACATATATCTTTTTGGAGTAAGTTTTAGCAAGACTTGTAAGCAATGAGGATATTTCTGTTGGTTTTACTAGTTTTCAGCATAACTGTTTATGGTAAGGTGACTATGAATAAATTTGTTTATTTATCTTCAATTTGTAAATAAACGACAACAAAAAAAAAACTTTCACACGTAAAATTTTAAATACAGATAACGTTTTGCTACTTTTACATTATAAAATTCGTTTCTGCCTGATCAAAAGATACTCGTTGATTCAGTTATAATTTGGTTCGAAAGTACACAACCATGACATCCTTACCGTAATCATACGTTACCGTCCGACTTCAAAAAAAAAAAGTAGGACCAGCTATACAGAATATATTGAACTGCTGAATTGTTAAATAAGAAGTACAATTTTCAAATTGTTTAAACAGTTATATCATGAAATACATTTAAAATTAGAGAACAACTTCATGTCCGATAATAAAATATGTATTACATGATTTCTGGTGTATCCTGCATTTTTAATACAAATGTTGGTAATAATAACGTTTAGCATTACCATTGACTCTACATATTACTACAAGTGTGTCCAATCCTATTGCTTGATTAATGCAATAAAATATTATTAAATTAAAAACTCTACAATAACTTTATACAATATAAGCAATAGAAACTCTTTTCCCGTAATTATAGGATTTTTCCAAGAACATTATAATTTGATTTGTTTTACAACATTCGTGATACATGTTCATTTTACCTAGTACATAACAGTCTTTCGATGCATACAGAACAAACATGGAAATCATATTTTTTTTATGTGTGTACCACCGTATATTTTCAGTAAAAAAAATCTGAAAAAGCAGGAGCCATTATGCTTTGTGGCTCATGTAACTCGTGTTTTGTGTTTCTTGTGACCCAGTTATTGGTTTTTTCTTATGGAGATAACTTTGTCGTAATGTCTGTGTTGTTGTCTTTCATTAATTTAGTTTTGCATTTTATAATATTTTTTTTAATTTTCTTTCATTTGTTTTATACGATAATTTGAGCCTGTTCATTTTGGTTAGTTTATATAGTTTCGTTTCTATCATTATTTTTGTTTTTGTTTCTATTGTTTGTTGGGTTTTTTTTATATTTTTTTTCATTAAAATTTTGTCCAATTTCTAGTTGAAACTCCCTTCCATGAAAGGGGGAAAAGATTTGACGCTAGTATAGACTTATGTCTTCAAAACTTTGAATTATTACCAATAGAATACATGGTAAAATGATTATTTATATTTCAGCTGATAGCTCAGTAGAATGTGATACAGCTAAAGAACTCGACAGACAGAAGAGTGGAAACACTCATAACACATTAATATTAGGATGGTATAAGATGGAAGACCATAAGTTACTCAATGAAGCTGATATTCCCGCATCATGTGCATGGATAAAGTCTCCGATATGGGCGAAAGGTACGATTTTTTTCTAGAAAAATCAACAATACTGTACAATATTTATTATTGGTATTTGTGTTTGATTTGTTGTTGTGGTTGTTTTATATATTTGACTACCCACACTTTTGGTCTCGATCGTATCTGACGAAATTCATTCAAGAAACAAGTGCCGTGCCTTCTAAAATCGTATCATATTTTTATATGAAACAATTATACAAGTTCAATTTCTAAACAAGCCATCTTTAATACCATAAAACTTCTGCAGGTTTTTATTGGTATGCATATGTTTCAATACAGTCAATAAAAGAAACTTCTGAGACATAGTATAATGAAATTTAAGAATAGAAAATAAAATAACTTTCGTTTTTTTTCTATACTAAAATAACATGGAACATATTATTCCAAAACCATATTGATAATGGACTGCAATTTGTTTAATAAATCCTTTGAATACTTTGCCTTAAAGGGTCCTTCCCAGTTAATGAAGGTGATGAAGCAACCCTAGAAGGATGTGTCTATACTAAAGGAAATAATTGCATCTCAAAGTATAGCATTAGAGTTCACAACTGCGGAGAACATAATGTCTACTATCTCAATGCAACTGCTACACAGGACGAAGCTTATTGTTTCAGTAAGTTGTGATATAATTTTATTCAGTACGCGTACAAATATATTTTTGCCAGTTTGCTACACTAGATGATAACCTGAAGTTTTCCTTAACAAAGTGAATCAGCTTTTATTCGCAGTGTTATCAGGTTTAAACACAATGTTAATACGTTTGTATATAACTGATGTCTTTGGTTAATTTATTTTTTCTTTCTTTCATTTTTATATATTTATACTTCTTTCATTTCCATTTGTTTTGTTTATCTTATAAAAATGAATATTAGAAAGTTTGCTATGCTAGACTATTATTCTTCTCTATTTTTCCAAAGTCAATTTTTGTATATTACAGACAAAATTAACCCATTTATTAATACACAGTGATAGATTTTTTTTTTAGTTTGACCGCTTCGGTGATATTGTGTTCACCTCGAGTATGGGAGGTCTTAGGTTCGATCCCAGGTCAGACCAAACCAAAAACTTTAAACTGTTATTTACTACTTCTCCGCAAAGCGCGCGATATCAAGGAATAAGAGCAAAGACCGATCGGCTCAGAATAGTGTGTCCGGCTAGGATGATATGTCTTCCTGCGGACCGTTTCCTTGTGAACTAGCACGTTAAAAATCCGGCTTTCGCAGTGTCGGTCTAGTACAAAGTAGGGTGTGTAGTCATATCGCAATAACATGTTCTCGTTCTGAAAATGCTTTTAGTTTGTTACTGGACGATATTTGTCACTGGACGATAAACAGCCATCCATCATGATCAACATTTCTTTATTTTGACATGGTATGATGTTCTATGGTAGATTTAATTTCTCGACAAATTGATTTCATCTCGATGTAGGTCTAAAAAGAGGGTCCATATAACTAAGTTTTAAATGTTTATTGGGTAATCCGTCTGGTTTTTTTTTTTGTTTTGCATCCGCCAAATTTTGAAAGCATATACAGAGTTCAGCTAACAAGGAAGAAAAGCAACACTCACAATTAAAAACACATCTATAAACTAAATATATATGTCGTACAGTTTTTAATATCAAATTCATTATTGTCCAATAATTTTATTTAGCAAAATTACAAATTAGTATAGAAAGTTTTTCTTTTGAAGCTAATACTGACTTAAAACAATCTTGCATGGAAATGTAACCAAATTACAATGTCCTCTTAAAAACCTAGATCTCTTGATTTTCTAAAATATGTTTATTCTTTGATTCTTTTACATCAAACAATAACAAAAATATACCAATAAGTGGGAAAGCACAGCTTTGGCCTTATAAAAATTGATCTGGCAATTTTGATTGAGTGTAGAATTATTCAATTGTCTGGAACTCGAACAAAACCAGTTGCTTGCTATTCTGCAGCTCCACATTTGAAATATAAGAATCCAATATAATTCTTAAAACAGGATGAATGTGATAACCGAAAGCTTATACACTTAAGATCGTGGAACATATCTTTATAGCAGGAGGATAGGAAATGGAAATACGAATAAAAATTATGTTCTGTTATGATCATTTAAAGTTTTTATATTTATATTTTATAGCTCGCGAAAAGGACTACGATGACGATGATGATTGTGAAGAACAAACTAAAGATTACGGGAAGAAGTTTCATCGATGTCATCGAAACAATCGACATGTTGTTTTGGTCATCGGATCTATTATAATTGTTGGTGTAATAATCGCCATGGTTGCTATATAGTAGGTATTTTATCGTCTCGTACGATATCCAGCGTTTGCTGTATTGATAACGTATACAAATGATAACAGATGATCTCAAAAGGCCCATTCGCACGATTCAAATTCTCCATTTAATCCTTATCAAAGTTTTTGGTGATTATCCTTGACATATGGAACTTTGTCAAAGTATCCTATTTCAAAGTTTTTGTTGGTTATTCCACAAATTTAACGGGAGATGCAAATTTAAAAACAAAGATATCGCCAACTTTTATGTATATGAATTTGGCATTTTTTCCTTCCAAATTTTAAATTGGTTGGTATGGTTATTCTTTTTAGGTCTTCATAATTGTTTAGGGGGATATACAGTTTTTATGATTTAATTATGCTAAGAAAATAAGCCGTCTAAGTGACGTGTTTGTGGACTTACATCATGATGTTATATGATATATGTAACCGGACAGCATGATTAGTATTAGATTATCAAATTGTCTCCTCCGGGACCTCTGTGTCACACGTCAGCGCTCTGCCCGACTGAGGTAAAGAAGCACTGCTTACGGCTGGCTATTTACTAGTGAAGGGAAGCAAATCCGTCACATATCACAAAATTCGATTAATCTCCATTTACACTTTTGTAAACTGCAAAATGAGTTTATCTTATCAAAAGAAAGTTGTTGTTTTTTTTAATTCAAACGATTGCAGACTAAATAATTGTGATTTTTTTACCTGTGATTTTTTTTTTGTCCTGACAGTTTTGTGACTTACTGTCCGTTTACTTTTTTTAATAATACGCGTGAATAGTTATTTTGATCGATGAAAAACAGCTGATTGTTACATGCAATTAGATAGTCAACCTTGTTCATACCTCATCAATTTTGGTAACGAACTGCATTTATATGTTGTTAGCCGTTGATGATAGTTTTGTGATAAAAACGGTTGCTATATTCTGATTTCAATAATATTTGCTTAACTTTTTCATGATTTTCTCCAAAATGATAGATAGTCCGGTAGGAGGAGAAATCCTATTGATGACTAAATAAATCTTTGATTAATATATGAATATATTTCCTTAGAAGGTACAGCAGAGATACGTTTTGTTCACGTCCTAACACCGTTTTCATTTTTCTAAATCAATTAAACGGCATGACATTCCCTGTTTCATTTCCGTGAATACTTTTTACAATTCATATGTAATTTTTTTTTTTAAATAATTCAAATAATATTTTACAGCCTTTGGAGAAGAAAGCGCCTGGCAGCTTTGCTTAGAAAAGAAATGTACAAAGAAACTCCACAACACAGAGATGGTCCAGTTGTCGTTACTACCAATGATAATCTCCCTCCTAAGAAATATTAAATCATATCGGATGTTTACAGCAAGTTACTATCACAACAAACCACTATAATCACGTGGTTATCAAGACAGTTGTCAAAAAGAAGTAAATCTCATTTTGTAGAATATTTTTAGTCAATTTCTTAGATTTACAATGTACATGGATTCCTAGATTCCGCACGCAGGCGTGATTTTTATTATTGATTTCTTATATTTTGATGATGTTGAATTGTTGTTATGTTTTATTCTGTTCATGATATTTTATTTGTAAATATGTTTCATTTGAAGTAAAGTATTGTCTTGAAAAATAACAAAATAACAAATAATTTCTTGAGAAATGCAATGCACTTCAGTGACTCTCCTCTTATATTGTTTTTTACAGTGTGCTGCAATGTTCTACTGTTGCACTTAGGGGTGGGGTGAGCACTCGCACACGCAGTTTGGTACTGCAACAGAAGTTCTTTATGTGTCTGTCCCCAGCTAGAAGCCTTTAGTCCAGTGGTTGTCTGTGGTTGCTGTTAACCACAATCTAATTAAAATATAGATCTCTGATTTCGTTATCCTCATATGACGCAAGTTACGATAGATCTGAATTTCAATTAGATTGTGTTAAACATAATTATGTTTTAATAGTATTAGCTTATATAAGGCCTTTGGTTTTGTAATCATTTGTCTTTTGTACGGCTTGTTATACGGCATTGGTTTTGCTCATTTTTTTTAGCTCTCCTCGCCAAAAGGGCTAAGTGAGCTTTTCTCATCACTTGGCGTCCGTCGTCCGTCATCCGTTGTCGTTAACTTTTAAAAAAATCTTCTCTGAAACTACAGGGCCAAATTTAACAAAACTTGGCCAAAATCATCATGAAATGAAGTTGTACTGATTCATTTAATTCGTCTCTAAGTTTAAAATAAGAAATAGTCGTGAAGAGAGGAGACATGTATTTTTTTTTCAGAGTTTGTATTTGACGAGGAGAGGACTTACATTGCTCTGTAACACAAGCCTGGTTTTGATTATTGACACAATGGCTGTTAATAAATTAAAAATAAGCATCGTGGAGAATTTGACAGAACCAACAATATAATGTTGTTTGTAAGAATACCCCCGGTATATTCATTAATCTTTGGTTGAGATTCAAATGATTACAAAAATAGACCTATGAATTTATAAGATTTCCCCTTAAATAAGTGTCATTGGAGTATATGTTGAGTTTTCAAGTTAATTGTGTATTCTATTTACCTTAACTAGCAGTTTATATGATTTCATTTACAAACAAAACTATATTTTCCAAAGAAAAGCGACAATTTGCCATGAGTACTATTTGTATGTTTACGCAAAACAAATCTATGACTGATATATGGAATAACAAATTGACAGAACACGTGGTGTTTTCTAAGAATACCAATGTCTGAGCAATTTTGGACTAAGTCAATATATAGTGGCTAGATGTTTTTAAAAGACTCTAATTAAAGCCGTTCCGTCATGTATACCAAATTGACTTACACGTATCTGTAATCTACACTAAAATATCTTTATTCAAACTATATGAAAGACTTTTTTCTGTAATGTTCAGTATCATCAAATGAAATTCAGCGATCTCGTGTTTGTTATCAAATTCTAAAACAAATAAGAAAATGTTCTTCTGAGGACTCATTTACCTAAGCTGTTCCAGTCATTTGATACTACTAGATGCCAAGTGATGAACTTAAAAAAGGACTTTAACTGCAGACAATATAAGATATAAGAGTCATTTTCTCTGAACGAAAGTTCGTTTTGGCGACAATGACGGCAGAGGAGGGTGGGATGGCTTTCGGGTTGGATTTCGGCTTGGTGGAAACGATGACAAAGTTGATTCAGTTTGTCTCTTTGTAAGACGGCTAGAATCTGGTTGAGCTTGCGCAAGTAACAACAAATTTCTGATTTCCTTTACATCTTGTCGCACAGTTTGGTTCTGCTCTCGGAGATATTTCATCTCGCTCCACTGGTTTTGCATAATATCACGCATGCGCTCTATCTCAAATCGCACAGACATTGTTATTCGTTGTAAATCTTCCTTGAACTTAACCTGTATATTAAGTTTGTCTGTTTCAAGAATTTTCATACTGTTTCCCTGGGAAACAACAACTTCTCGCGCTCGATTTAGTTCTTTCGACATTACTTTTATGTTTTGTTGAAAAGTGTAAATTTCGTTTTTTAAAGTGGCAATGTCTCTTTTTGCTTTCTCAAACGCCTCACCAGACACCAACTGCCTGTTTTCTGATTCCAGGTTAACTATTTCTTTCTGAATTTCCGTAATCCACGTGGTTGCAGAGTCAACATTCTGCTTCATTTCGCTGATCTGAGTCTGAATTTCAGCCAATTTGTTCCGTTTATCGTCATTGTCTTCTTCTAACTGTGACAAAGAACTTTCCTTATTATTCAGCTCTGTTTTCAGAGCATCAATTTTGATTGTCTTTGCTTTAATTTCGGATTCCATAGAAAGTTTTTCAGATTCATTTGCAGCATGGTGATGCTTTCTTCCAAAGTCAAGTCTCAAGCGCAATGTTTCTATTTGTTTTTCAAGTCCCAAGTTCATGTTGACTATTTGCTCGATCAAAGAATGCTGAATTGTATCTGATTCATCCTCAGATCCAACAAAAGATCCAAACCTGTCCTCAAATGTATTTTCTTCGGGTTGTGGTACAGAATGCCCTTGGATTGATAACTTTTTTGGCTCCTGTAAATTAAAGTTTTACATGCGATATTCACTAAAGATTACTAATCTTTTTGTGTATCTATTTGAAAGAAAAAATATGAAATGGAATTTGTTTAATAACTAATGTTGCTTTTAAGCAGACGTCATATAGATATCTTACTAAACATAAGATAAATCCAGTGATATTACAATTAAAAATTTCTAAATTTCCAAGATATTTACCATTATACACTTACCAAAAATATAGACATTTTAGGAGCATCAATCGGTCGTTAATTAATAGTGTCCAGGTTCTATTCTTTCAAATCAAAACACGTTTTAATAATTTCATAACAGACAAACAAAGATATTGTATCAACAACAACAACAACAAAAGAAATACGGAAAGCGACTAAAGCTGCTGCTTTTTCTGACTAAGGTTTGGAAAGGCACTTCCGAAATTTTTTTTTGGTAAAAATCATAACATAAAACGGTATAAGATAGAATGTGCAGTTGCCTATGATCTTACCTCTCCCCTGGTTGTTGACGCCATACTTCGCTCGCCTATTCAGTTACCTGGAAATATTGATAACGTACAACAATTTGCAAAAATAGTCGAGGCGTTGTTTTTGTCCAGCCTTTTTTGTATATCATATAAATGATCATTTTCACACTCAAAACTAAGCTATTTACAAAGTACAAAATTAACAAGTGTATTTAAAAATTACCCCATCTTTTACATTTATCTCAGTGAAGCGACGATGTTGTCCGTTTGTTATAAAAATTGATTTGGTTATTCCATAATTCAACATAAAAAAACCCTCTCAAACTCAAACTGAATGATCGTCATGCATTGGCAAAATATAAGTATACACAAAATTCATATTTATAAATATACAACAACTCACCTTTTTAGTTGTAATGTGTCTTTTGTCAAGATAAGTTTGTCATTCTTTGTTAACGGAGTCAATTAACAAAAAATGCAATGAGGTATCGATTTCTCACAAACAAATATTTTGTAAATGATAAGTATACATCTAGGTCTATGTAGATGTAACGTTTATTTTACATTAATATTTGTATCGTTTAGTTAAATTTGGATATGTTCCAATACATGTAATCTTTAAAAAAAAATGAACCATTGAAAAGAAAATAAGGTGGAGGTTTTTATCTTTATTTAAAGTGAATTTTGTTTCGATTCAATACAGTAAACGCATATTACAAGAATGAATGTAAAAAAACGAAAACAGAACAATGTATGTTTTGTCTTCACCATGTATCTTCCTAAACTTAATAAACATATATTGTCTTGTGGATACTTTTAAAGACATACTAGTAATTCATTGTTTTAAAAAGTCACACATGTACCGTCCGCACTCGAAAATGTATTTATCAGCTGTTATATGGAACTTACTAGAAGCAAGTGTCCTTATTTGTTAAAAACTCTTACACCATTTCAGAAAGAATTTGCTGGAATGTAGGACTCAAAGAAATAGCAATTTAAAAAAAAAACTACTGATTATATGTTGGACAGATTTACATAAACATCAATTAAAATCTATAGATACACAACTTGGTTTTTGACTATTTCAGTTCGATGTCCTTTCACGCATTATATAATTTGAAAGAAAATCAGTCCTGTGTGTCGAAATAATAAAAAAAATGGATAGAATTTATATTATATGCACAAATATCAGATAAAGATTGATTGATTGATTGATTATTTGACGTAGCGTCAGCGCAAAATAGCTAGATATAAAAAAGAACTGTTGGTGTTTTATGTCTACGAGAACTGCTTAGAGCCTTTTTTGCACTAGAAGATCCAACTGAATGACTGACATAGCGATAGAAATGATACCTGCCAGTAACAATCACTTTAAACATATATTCTAAATAAGACTTAGGTCGAGAGGAATGACCATTTAGTTACTTCTTTCTTCTTTAGTTTCACACTATGTTAACTATATAGATAGATATATTTTATGTCATAATGTAATATTAATTGACTAGATCTTAAATATATTGGTGACAAACTATGAATATTTAATGAAATCCTGACCCAATTTTATTTTATTGGAAACAGATTTTCTTTGTTTATGAGAAAATTGATATAACAAAGTGTCAACAAAATATGTTGACTTTGACTCTTAAACTAAGGAATGATCCGGCAGACTGTATGGTTAAGTAATTTTGATTAGGATATTTATATATTAAAGTGGTATAAATATTATAGAGTAAGTTGTGTTTCAGTTTCCTTCAAAATTTACAAGCATTCTAAACTTTATCTCAAGGAAAAGACGGCTATATATAGTTTTAAGTTCAACAATGAAAGAATTGTCTAAGATGTCTATCAACAGAAACGATTACAGAAATGTGTATACTGACAAGGTAAGAGCAAAGACGTCTACTGTAGAAAATCATGTAAACTCTTTATAAAATTCGTGTCTAAAGTGCTTTTCTGGATTTACCTTCACTAGGAACGCTATGATCTTTCAATTGGAAGCCAGAAATGTATAAATACACAGACCGTTTGCTATATGACCAAAAGGGACCTAACAAGAATAGCCAAATTGAATTATTCGTTTAAGGTCAACTTTGCCTGAAGGAGTTGGAACCTTAGTGTCTCAATAATTTCTTAATCCGTGAATCAAAACCTAGTTTTCTACAGAACTTGATTTTGTTCAGGACTTCTTAATAAGGGAAAAAATCTCAAGAAATTTCAAATAAACTTGAATGGTCGTTATTATAATGTGTCGTAGTTACACAGGACATTTTTTATTAGAAAGTTACGTATTAGCGTTCTTATACGGACGTCAAAATTATAAATGTATTCCACCAAATTCAACAAAACAAACCAAATTTCCATACCAACTCCTTTGCACAACAGCCTTCTTTTGTATTTATTATATGAAGTCATTTATAGCATCTTAATATTAAGTCTTCAGTAATTTTTAGTATTTGCTGGGACGTTAAATTAGGTCTTAGGTGTATATAAATATAATAATTAAATTCCTGCAGGGTTTGTAATTACTCATTTAAAAGAATATTGATGTAAACTCGTCCAATAGTTTATTATAGTATCGTCTTTAGCAACTGTATACGTTATATGTTGGACTGCATGTTGCACACATTCCCCCTTTTCGTCCTGAAACATGCATACTTCTTATTTTATTCTATCATATATGACATGAAACGAAAATTTCTTAATCTGAACATCGTAAATTACCAAAGAACGATAGAGCACTTTATGCCAGCCACACCAACACTGATCCTCCTGTGATGTTAGCACAAAAATGGTATCAGTACACCTGTCTGCTCATGTACTAAAAATCAATAATTTTTCAATTTATTTGTTAACGAATACATTTAACAAAGCGATTTGCGCATTCTAAACATTGGATGCAAAGTTGTAAAAAAATCCCGATTTATTATTTTATGAATTCAATAGCTTTTAAATTCATACCTGATTAATCTTTTATTCTTTTTAAAGTTTTTGTCATTTACCCTTGCCTATTCAATCATATTGATAAATTTCTGCTTCTTTGTTCTCAAAATGTTTACACAATATTTATTTACATACATTTAAATTTCATAAAGAATTGCTCGATAACTCGGGTATAGATTAATAATCTTAGTCACTTAACAAAGATGGTGTCCAAGACTACATCGACGTTAAAGGAATGATTCCGAATCGATTACTGATCGGAATATCCCGAACTGAAATCGAGACTGGTTCATAATGGCGGACATTGATTGTAAACGTCCGAAAAGAGTACATATTTGGATAAAAATGTAAATTTTGAAACAAGAGGTAGGAACTTTTAAAACTGTTCGTTACACCATTATTATGTCAGTCTGTACATGTACTTAACTATTAACCCTTGCTACTAAAATAATTAAAGTGCAAACTACTTATACGCCTTAAAAAACTTTTATGTATAAACGTATATTGTTAAATTAAAAAAAAAGTAGTTTTCAGGCATCACAATATCATTCTTTTTTATTCTTAATAGATTTTTCACATCTATATGGCGACAATTCAAAGTTTTACAGTTATTCGAAAGTTTGATTTTTATGTTGATATTTCCAAATCCTTTTAAATATACAATTACATACAATTTAACGGATAAAGAGTGTCAGACGTGAGGTAACATGCTATGTCATATTGTACCCTTATCAAATCAAGGTTAAAGACACCCAATAAATGTAAGTGCCATTTTAAACTTATATTTAAATAGCAAGAAATATTAAAATGATATCAGATAAAGAGAAAATATCAAAAGGATTTTAGAAAGAGGGTCAATATTAAAAAGATGAAACGATCATGTTAATTCTCGAACATTTTATCAAGTGTTGTATTATATTCTTTAATTTTATGAGTTTTAGGAGAATTATTACGTATTTGCAGTACAATGAAACCAAAGGACGTTTAAATGAACAAATAATAAATCAGATAAAAATAAGAGCTTGATTCGCCATAGGCATTTAAACACTGTATTTGTTGTTGTTATTTTGAGCTAAAATGTATAAAGGAGATAGAGAAATATGTCAAGGAGACAACAAACCAACGATAACAAAAAGCACACATACACAAAATACATCGTAGAGTAACAGATGGTAATCAACAATATACCGCTCTCTTGTCTTCGGTAGTTCTCTCCGGGCACTCCGGCTTCCTCCACCGATAACACTGACTTCCACGATACAGCCAATAGTACTAAAAGTGGTGGTAGACACCGACAATCAGTTAATCAGTTAGACAGGCATATGTGCTCGTGGCGGGCATATAATTGGTAGCTGGTAAACTAGTTTTTTTACACGTAAGCATCATCGTTTTAACAAAAATCAGTACAGAGAAAGCACTTAAATCTAAAATACTGTTATAATAGACAACAACAAGAATAAGTGTCCATATTATACAATTCCCCGCTAAACCGGTGTAAAGTTTTAAAAGTTCACATCACAATGAACATAACGACCACCACGTCATTGACGGACGGACGGGCAGACTTGAAAAAATAAATCATAATAGTCGGGCATAAAACCAAAATACAAGCCAAACAATATTAAATAAATAATACCGTCTTAAAATACATGGTATTACTGAAAGCAGACATAAAGTATCTAATATACTGATATAGAAAGCACGCATGCTTAACAGAACAAGTTGAGGACGGTTTCGAGAGTATATATATATATATATATATGTTCATGCAAATAAGATATGAAGATAAGAAGTCAATATTTACTCAAACTAAATGTTCTTTCAAAAAATAACCTTTTGTTATGTTTGGCAATTCAGTACATGAAAAAGTCCATAATTTGTACAGAACATTGCGCACAAAATACACATTACGTCGCGAAATGCGTCGTCTACCCTATTTTCTCACCAGATATCATTGATTTCGTTCTCATGAAAAGAGGTACACGGCCGACTTTACATGGACAAATGTATGCATTTATCTACTATCCAATCTGAGATCTTATCAATACTAATTAAATACCAAGTACTTTAAAAATACGAATGATCCTTATTCATTGTACATATTTAATATAAATTTTTAAAGATTACACTGCTTTTTCTAAACGTTTCTTTATCAAACTATAATTTTCAATTTCAACATTGATTGGTATGTTTATTAAATGTAATTCCAACAACAATGAAATTGACACGATGAAAAGTTAACTACTTCCATATTATATTAGGTGATAAGTTCAACAAGAATTCATATGACTCGATTTATACTATTTATTTCCACCGATCCGTCATGTCCTTTTAATAACCCCGCTCAACAGAGTCGGGGGTATATAGGAATCATCATGTCTCTTAGTCCATTCGTCCGTCCGTCCGTAACACTTTGGTTTCAAGATGATAAAAAAGGACATTCTTTTTAATTAATTGACATTTTGACATTTTAGTGAAATGTTTCTGACCAATTTATGACATGTTAAGCTCGATTTTCGTTGTTTAGACTTGTACCGATCGAGAGTTATGGTGCTTGATTGTTGGGAAAAATTATAATAATTTGGTTTCCGAAATATAAATTCAGAAAATCGTTTTGAAATTAATTGAAATTTTAATAAAATGTTTTGGCCCACTAAAGACAGGTTAAGTTCCATTTTCGTCTTTTTCACTTGTACCATTCCAGAGTTATGGTACTTGATTATTTGACTGAAAAAATTGTGATTTCCTGATAATAAACATTTTCGCTAGCCAAGGGTTACGATCCACTTCCCTCCTCTCCACCCTTGGCAGATTGAGATAGAATTTCGGAGACACAAAGTAATTATTTTTATTGGTTGCAGTGGAAACTCGCTGCATCCAATCAAAAAGCGCCTATAACATGGTCACGTGTAATTGTAGAAAGTGTATGTAAACAATTGCCACGTGCTTATTGTGCAACAAGTCTTTACATCCCTAAACATGCGACTATATTTAGTGACAATTTGAATGTTTTTAATCAACTAATATAAGTTCCTGTGTATGTTTCTTGCACAAATGCATGAATGTCAACGTATATTTTCGTTTCCTGCTTTACCAAGTGTGTAGAATCTAGACGCTACCGTGTTTTTACCTCCAAATTGAAGAGTTCAAGTGCTACCATTGGTCAAGAATAATGTATTCGGAATGGGCGTGACTTTAATCTACCGATAGATGGCGCAACATTATTATTACAAATGTTGGCTTAATCTGACAAGGGCGGAGAGGAGGGAAGTGGATCGTAACCCTTGGCTAGCGAAGATGGATAATAAATGGAGAACGGTGAACCCCTTTTTCACGATCTCTCAGCTGTACCCCTCTAGTTTAAGAGTGTTTTTACTATTTTAAGTTATGGCACTTCAACTTTGACATGAAGTGAATTGGATAGCTACGAATATTCATATAGTAACACATTAAACTTTACAAATTATAACGTAACAGTATCCAAATTGCACCCATTTAGCAAATACAGCAGCAGAAATCTTACAAGTTTTCTTAGAGACTAAGGAAAATGTCTTTTTATGATTTTACATTATGCACGTCTTTCAACATAGCTCAATATATTTAAATATACACAAAACGGGCACAGTATGTATCAACAGATGAAGTATTCGGTGAAAAGTAAAATTTCCGAGAACGTTGCCATGCGACGTCCACAAAAAGTCAACTTTTAAAAATCAATAATTAAAATATGTCACAGGCATCCATTTCTTAAACGAGGAGTAATAGGCATGAAATATTGTCAAATTGTTTTAAAAATTTAGAGAAATAAAACAAAACATTAGTTATTTGATTTTTACGTATGTGAATTTAAGCATGGATGCAATTTGGATTCTCCACATTACAGAATCATGGGTCGTTTGGATGTCGGTTCAAACCCATTTTTCTATGATTCAGTATGGATTCAAAATTAAATTGGTGGAACTATATAGTAAATATTGATACATCTACAAAATAAACACAAAATGGAAACATTTTTCTCGATCATAAATAAACGTACGTGAACAAAACTGTCAAAATAGGTGCAATTTGGGTACCCTCACGTTACATGCAATAATATATTATAATAATAAATGAATTCAATGGAAACAAGATATGTTTGCGTGCTTGTTTTTTGAAATACAAGCGTTTTAAAAAAGCAAATGTTAGCGAAAAAAAACAATGTCTGAGAAATTTGTCTGAAGTATTCCAAGAAAAGTAAGGAGAGTATAAAACGAATTGTGAAATAATTCCTAAAGGTGTAATAAAATGGATCTTCTTAATTGTGGAATAATTCCTAAAGGAGTAATGAAATGGATCTTCTTAAATAGTATAAAGACGTAAAGGGGTTGCTAAGCAACTTTTAAAAAACTTTCCTAACGTAAATTTATGAGGAGTTATGTAGTATTTTAAAGAAGTGACATATGAACAGATAACGTCTTTAAACTTGTAACAGGTACATGTACTGTATTATGTTATTATAACTTTATACTATGCACGAAGGCCAGTGGAAAAGGGCATACTCTACCAATTTGAAGTAAAATGTCACGAGAAGTTATATTTTGAAACTGTTCTATATAGTTGAGACATTTAAAAACCAATGAAATTATTTTTTAGGTTAATCAATCTGTGATGGCGACCGGAGGTGGGACGATTGCACCACAAAGACCAAAGAAAGACACAAAAATGGTTTGTTCTATATAACTGCTTAGAAATAAATATATACCAGAATTTTATACTGCAAATCCAACGGAGTACAAATTAAAACAGCTTCTAACATTTTGTCATGTAGAACTTTACAAACACTTAGCAATATTTTTAAAAATACTTACACGATACTTATGATTTATATTTGTCTTTTTTGAGTTGAATATTATGGTAATTTGTAAATTGACATTTTGCTGTATTTTACCATGCATGCATGCATTATTATGTGTAGTGTAAATGTATTGAGTATAAAAATGTGTATACGTGTATATACGATGTCCTCTTGTACACCTATGTGTCTGAGGTTTAATAATAAAGTATTGTCTATTGTCTATATCTTAAAGTAAGGAGATGTGGTATGCCGGATTTCCAATGAGACAACTATCCACCAGAGACAAAATAAAGTGGAAGAAAGCAACTATATCCTCGTCTCATGGGTTTTCGTGCTATTAAGAATGCATTGTGACGTCACAATTTCCATTGAAAAAGCATGCATAGTACGAATTCATATGACGTACGAAAACATATGATCTGATCATACACAGGCAAATTTCACCTCAAACGAGCTAATACGTGAGATTCATGTGAGATTCACGTGAGCAAAATTTGCCTGTGTAACTCACCGTAAGGCCTTCAACAAGTCAACAAACCGGCAAAACCCATACTTCATTGTAAGCTATATATCCCCGAAATAACACAATGTAAAATAATTCAAACGAGAAAATCCACGGTCTGATTTATGATAAAACAACAAAAAACGAAAGACAAACATGACAGACAGCAACCAATGAATACCAATGAATTATAGGCGCATTACAAGGGACATGCACATAAAGAGTATTGCATAGTTAACTTCTTGGATAAAATAATTTTATGAAAAAAGTTTTCATATAAAATATGGCAGCATCTACGTTTACGAAACCTTAATTTCATCTTATATTAGAACCAAAGGTTGTTGTTATTTGCTGTAAAGCTTAATAAGAGACTGCAGTGGGTAGTTTATACAGGATAGAACATTTTAAAGCAACACACTTAACACAGAACAAATTAGATACCAGCAAACTTTAATACTCCTGTCAAATAAAATAGATTTATAAGGAACAACAAGGGTGTTCTTTATCAAATAGCAGACCAATAGTAAAAAATGATTGAATTGATATCTTTCAATTTCAGGACGATACAAACTCGTTTAAGATAACAGGAAAGGGATATAGTACAGACAGACAGACAGATCAGGGTGCTAGTAATTTGTCATCACCTAAGTCTTCGTCAAGGCCGTTATCAGGGACCACAAGTAATTCCGAAGACATTGGAGAACTTGGCGAGCCAATAGGTAGTTTTCAGTTACCAACAGAAGCTATGGAACTGCTACAAAATGTGATGCAAGTCAACAAAGACCTCGAGGAGCAAGTAGTTGCTTTGAGATTAAGAATAGACGTTGAACAAAAAAACCAAGAGACAGAAAAAAAGAAAGTTGTTCACGAAAAAGATCGAGCTCTTAAAGTGAAAGATCATGAAATAAATGAATTAACGGAATCAATTTCTGTTCGAGATTATAGGATTAAACATTTGAATAAAGAAAAAGAAGAGCAGAGTCAACAGTTATTAGAGAAAATTGACGAAATCACTGAATTGAAATCGCTCGTAGAACAAACCGAAGACTACGCGAAAGATTTAAATAGAAAAGTCTCAAAACTTAGGGAAGAAAAAAGACATCTTGAATCAGACACGTTGTACAAATCTCAGAGTGAAGAAATAAAGAAGCTAAAACATGAACTTCATTCTGTAAAAGACAAACTAGCTTCCATGCAAAATGAATTGACTCGTGCTAGACATATCATAGAACAACAAAACATGAAAATTAAAAATCTTGAATATGAAAAGGGAGAAATGAACTCACGGTTTCGAGACGACTTAGAAAAGGCTTCACGTGCTATGCGTCAAGAAGTAGAACGAATGAGAGAGGTTATGAAACAACAATACGAAGAGATGAAAAACTTGAGAGCTCAGAATTACGAAATATCTAGCGATGTACGGGACATAAAAGACATCTTGCTTAACTCCAGGGATAGTACAACAAAACGAGAGTCGTTAGACATTAACCGGTTGCCCATGGCACCAAGAAGTCCGAAGCCCGCAGTTCGTTCTTCTATGCCTAATATGAAAATAAACAAAGGTGCTAGTAAAAACTTAAGTAATTTGCCTCCGTTAGAAAAAGAACAAACTGCTGGTTCAAAATGGATTCCAGCAGGTGCGAGACGTTCTATGAATATGTCTGCTAAGCTCAAACGACCAGACAAGTGATGTTTCTTAGTTATTTTATTGTGCCAATTCTTGTGTTCATACATGAGGAACCTATCTTAATTTATGTTCCTAACATAGTTATACATTGTTGTATTTGTTCCGTTTGCATTGTTTATCAAAGGTGCAATTGCCATTACAAACTTCATTTTTTACAAAACTTTTTATCAGTAGTTCTGCGCTGCCTTTACTTAAAACTCGTTTTCAGTTCTCAAGGCAAAAATAGACTGCTTTTCGCGTATCGGATACGAGTGGACTGAATTTGCCACGATTACGAAAAAATATTTTAATTTACATAGTCGTATTTCATTTAAATTTACATTAAAAATTACGTTGTTAGAAGATTGTGGGAAGATTTTCCTAGCTTCTCGTTAAGTGTAATTTCGAAAGGTTTCGTGAAAATAAAATAAAAGCATTTGACCATACAAATTGGTTTGACAAGTACTTGGTAAAGGAGAAAACAGAAATGATATATTCTTTTAGATTAGACTGAATTAAGATGAATGTTTCAGTCGACAAAAGTTTTATAAATGTTTATCCACTTGTAGAGTTAATAATTCAATGTCTGTGATAGAAAGAGTGTGATATTGATAATGCTGTGATAATGCTATTGCTTCATTTCAGAATCTTAATATAAATTTATAAACATTTTACCTAAATTTTGTTTTATTTATAATGAGAATCTCCGGTGTTGTTTTATTTAAATTGACGATGTTGTTATTATATAGGTCAGGCGGATAGAACTATGTATATTTTTTTGTACTATTTAGCTTTTGTATTTGAAGTATTTTAGTCATTTACATTTTCATCAATTGAATGTACTCTTCCAATTCTTGAGAATATTATACAAAATGTTAAACTGGATATTTTTCCCTCTCTCAAAACAACTGGCATCTAAAAATGATAAGTATGAAAGAACAAGGAAATAAACAGAATACTTACCAAGTATTTTGAAACAAAGCAATAGAAGTATCGAACCATGGTTTTAACAATCATATGTTAACAACAAATCTTCAAAGTTGAAGCAAATCGTCACCTTGCAATTCAGAATCCACATGACGTGCGCTACTAGTGGGACAGAAACTGATATACCTCCCGGAGCAACTGAATTAATTCCCGTTTTAATGGGTTTGTGTTGCTGAATCTTTAGTTTTATTTGTCGTGTATTAGGCAGGATTTCTTTTGTTTTCGTTTTATTATTTTTTTGTCATGTTGTTGTCCGACTTTCTTCGGCTTATGGCCTTTGATGTCGCATTGGTATCAGCAGGTGGGGGAGGGGTCTGTCATCATATATGTTAGTGATGTTATTATGTACTTAAAGATGTATAGCACATTATCTTGTAAAGCCGGTTGCTTGTTATAATGTCGCATGGAAAAGACCAAGCAGAAAATGTAACATTGTAGGATTGGGATAGTTGCAACCAGACCATACAAAAGACAAATTGTTCAGACTAAGTGTCAATTTTTAAAATGTCAGCCTCGTGATCAGTTTGTTTTCTTTGTTGCAATATACTAGTTGTAAATCCATATATACCGAACTCATATCTGATTAATTTGTAAATACAAATGTTGTTAGATATGCATAATGGCGTACAACACTCGTCTAGTTGCATTGATAATTTAAGATATACTTATCAATGAAATTTACAATTTATAAATTTTTCAAAAGCTCCTATCACGAGAAAAGTAAATTTGTACAAATACAGTTCGATGGGTGAAATATCTAATTAAAATAAACACTCCAAACTTGAAACGGTCACTGATTGGGAGAAATACAAAATTGAATAACTGAAACACAAAAAGGACTCCATTAATAGTAAGAACATTGCAACGAATACAATAGAAATAAAACATAATTAATTGTAGCAGTAATAAGTATATAAATGTGAGCATATATACATAGGTTCATATACCGATATTTGAGCATTAAAATAATTAAATGCAATCAAATCAATACAATTACACTGGAAACACATTAACGTAGACTATATGTATGGACAGAGTACAAAGAATTTCAAGGGTAGAAGGAATCTGTCTTTTAAATAATGATTACACGGAGTTCTCATCAGAATAGTTTTAATTGATATGGTACTGTCATTTTATACTAACGTGCACTTGTTACATTTGAATAACTTCCGCCTGTTACATAAGATTTTGTTGTAAGAAGGCCGTATACCCATGTCATTTAAAATATCTTATGTCTATATTAACAAAGAAAAATATGAGAAATGCAATGAAAAGCCGAAATCACATGAACTTCAACGGTAATGAGACCAGGTTCGTCGTCAAGGTAACTCTATATGTCGCCTGTTTTACATCACCATCTATCTTGTATTTCAATGTCATAAGAAACAGTCAAGTGTGGTAGTACAAATGTGTCTATATTTGAAATAAATATATAAATATTCAATATTCAAATGTTAAGAAAGGTCATATTTGGGTTCAAAATTTAGAATAATTTAGTGAGAGAACATCATCTATATAGCGGAAAGTAAAGTTAAAGGATACTGCTAACTTCTTTTCTTTCTTCCTAAGAAGATCCTGTATGAAGTCAGCCTCGTATGAATGAAGGAACAAGTCGGCAAGAAGAGAAGCACAGTTGGTTCCAATGGGAATGCCGATTGTTTGTTGAAAAACACGTCCTCCAAAAGTAACAAATATGTTGTCAATGAAGAAATCAAGCATCTTGATAATGTCAGTTTCAGTGAATTTTTTGTTTGAACCAGAGGAAATTTTACAAAGTACGATCTATCTCCCCAAGACAAGAAACTTGTATCTATGTTGGTCATTCTTTTTTATCAAACTAAGCAGGACTAACTCTTAATTTATCTTTTAGTTAAGATTGGGGAATACTTGTGTAAAGTGTAGAAAAGTCAAATGTTTGAATACTATTGCAAGATGAAAGAGTCATAGATTGTATGTACTCTAAAAGATCTTTGGAATTTTTTAGTATCCACATCTGATTCACGCCTCCCTTAGAATAGGTAGTTTCACAATAACTTTGAAGCCCGGATTTGATTGCTGATAAAATTGATGTTAATAATTTAGAAAGAGGTTTCGTGGAGCACTTGCAAGACCCAGTAATATAACGTTATTTGTAAGGACACTTGTGTAGTTTAGGTATCCTATACAGTGATGGAAGATCCAGCTCTTCATCTTTGGTTAAAATTCAAAAGGAACATAGAACAGACCTATGATTATCCGGGATTTCATCCTTGGTAAGTGTCGTGGGGGTATATGTTAGGTTTCCAAGTGAATTGTCAATACCTTATTCATTTATCAAGCAGTTTATGTAATGTGATTTACACACAAAAACGATGTTGTCTGGGACTTTATCTGCGGGGACAACAACATATTTTTCAGGGAGGTAGGACAAGTGTTTTGCAACATTTGGGTCTTTAAACTTAGAACCATAGAACCATAGAACTAACCATGAGAGCTTTGAAATTTGCAAATCAGTGTTCTCCTTTGGGGATAATCAATTAAAACATTTTCTGGGGTGTCACAACTCAGATCTATATTGCATTTTGTACAAATCCTTACCAACGGCCAGATTTACGCTAAAATAATACATGACAGACAGCAACCAACAAAATTCAGCGACTCGCTCGACCCTCCCCTTAACCTGGGACAGTGATATAACGACACGACTTTAAAACAACCCATAAAAAATCAGTTGGAAAAACTTCAATCAGCACTAAGCGCACAAAAAAACCTCTACAAAAAGAAATAAGAAACGAAAGGTACCGATCTAAGAGTATTCGGAAATTCTAAAAGCTAGTTCAAAGTATATTTCAACTAATAAATAAAACCCTGTTTTCTGAAACTAAAATATCAATCAGTACTACACACTAAATGGATTTAATGTAAAGACGTCATATACAGTCTGAGAAAAGCACAACCTTGTGCAATGCCAAAATATAAGTATCGAAAGGATGTAGGACCACAAGTGATCATAACTGTATGTGTAGCATACATTTGTACTAGTATGTTCAAGTCTACGTTTTATCATAGTGTGTTTCTAAAATCTTTTCGTTGAGAGGAAGAGTAGAATCATTTTTATTGCTAATCTGTAAAAAGTGTTCAACTAATCAATAGTCAAAAAGTTTATGTGTATGATAAGATGAAATACAGAACATTGCGATCCAAAAGGGGTTTGTCAATGGGTATTGTTGGGGGGTGGATTGGGATGGGGTGATGATCTCAAACCTATAAACCATTTTAACCTTCCGACGTTTTGGTCTCCAATGTATCCTTCAGAAAAACTTTTGACATTAAAACGAATTTTTGTTTACTACTGTAGACAGAATTATACTTATTAACGACTCTTAGATTTTAATTTCAATGAATATAAAACGATGCATTAGCGATATGACAATAAAGAACATATGAATTTTGATTTGATCGATAATGTAATGATTCACAAACCACTAACATGTTTCAATGTTAATATATTGCAAAACATATCCAATTTTTACATCGGAAGTGACTTTGAGAGGTCATACCGGTGTTATGTTGCCGCAGAAATTTCTGCACGCGTCCCTTGCGCTTTTGACTGATAACCGAACGTATTTCGTATAAATACGCGGATATTATCGAGTGCAAAATAAACATGATTCCTTATCGCTTGTTATAAATTCATTTCTTCAATGAATACTCATGAAAATATTTTTTATGTTTTTAATGTTTTGTCGAGAGAAATATATATGTTGATTGTTTTCTGTTTGGTAATAATTTAATAATAAGATCTATTTTGTTACATCTTGTGATCCGTTTATTTGGCAATCGCCAATGGCAGTCAGCAGGGTTTAAGAACATCAGTTGTTCGACCTGCTAGTCAAATGCGTTTTGTTAAAATATACTTTTTCACTCATTTGGTCTTTTGGAAAATGTTGTTTGTGCTGTATTTAGACCCCTCTACCAGGAAATTTGTTTTGCATGCACACGTATAAAAATTGCGGTTTTTATCCAACGCAATCATAGGTTTGGTCGTTGTTTTCAATTTAGACTTGTTTATATTTTTTTCGTTTGGGCTTGTATTATATTTGCCTTCGCGGGTTTATATGATCCGTTCATCCTATTTTGACTCTTTCAAAATTCAAGAGCCTATCCTAAATTGAGGTAAATTATATGGTCTTCCAAATACCGTTTCGATTCCTAACATCACTGAAGAGACATTAATTGTCGAAATCCGGATATAGTGTACAAATTTTTGCACCTCATGTTTGCGGTATACCATCTTTTCCGCAAGTTTATTGTTTTCTGTTTGGTAATAATTTAATAATAAGATCTATTTTGTTACATCTTGTGATCCGTTTATTTGGCAATCGCCAATGGCAGTCAGCAGGGTTTAAGAACATCAGTTGTTCGACCTGCTAGTCAAATGCGTTTTGTTAAAATATACTTTTTCACTCATTTGGTCTTTTGGAAAATGTTGTTTGTGCTGTATTTAGACCCCTCTACCAGGAAATTTGTTTTGCATGCACACGTATAAAAATAGCGGTTTTTATCCAACGCAATCATAGGTTTGAACGTTGTTTTCAATTAAGACTTGTATATATAAATATAAGTAAAAGAATCGTTACTGTCTATGCACACGTACCGAAAAATTGTGTTTGCGGATGAATATCTCTTATCGCTTGTTATATATTAA